TAAAAAACACTTTTGGTGGCAAACGGTAAAAAATTTACCCCCCCCCCCCCCATAATAGAAGCCTCCGGGGCTTCAAAACTGTCCAAGCGTTCAAAATTTTTAGGGGGGCTACTATTACGACTTTCGTACAATTTTCTGGAGGGGCTGATACTCGTAAAACTATATCGAAGGATATATAATTTTTAAGTTCTTCTGCGGAAAAATTTTTGATCACACTGACCACTTGGTTGAAAGTCCCACCGCAGAAACTTTGGCCTAGGAATTTGGGTATTTGCTTTAGCAATAGTGTCAAAGACTACAAACATGCTCTTTCCAACAGTGAGATTTTCGAAATCCAAAATTATTTTTTATGGGTTTTTCAGAAATTTGGTCTCCATGATCAAAAACCACGTAGGTTATGTCGACGCCAGAAAAGAAGTCAACATAAAATTAAAAGGAACTCGCTGACCGATTTACCGAAAAACTTTGCACCTAACGCCCAATTTTTATCTAATTTGGTGCATCGCGGCAAAAGTACCTAATTTTCTAATGAGGTAGCCAAGAAAGATGAGCAATGAGGGACTGAATCGAGAAACGACAATTGAGAACCTAAATGAGCTGTTTCTATGCATAAGAATACAGCTCGAGGAGACAAGAATCGTTTTCTTTGGCTCTAGTTTGAGGGCTTCGGAAGAAAAATGAAAATTCGAAAAATGTACGTCAAGAAGTGCAGAACGCACAACCACAAAATCACGCTGAAACGAGTAATATATAGATGGAACGAAGGACATATCCGCATGAAGCCTACAATGTTCGTACACACTATAGAGAACTAGCAAATAAGGAGATATCTTTTTTCACATAAGGTATTCCACGTGCGAACATTTCTTCGGCTTCATCGACTCGATAGAAAAGAAAGATATGCATGTGCGAAAAGAGATATCCCCTTATTTACTGGTTCTCTTATATACAACGTGAATAAGAAAAGAAAATCACTATTTGTCGCAGCTCTAATATGACAAATGAGAAGTAAATGTCAACAGAGATATATCTCAGATGCATGTATATCAATGTTCAAATACTAAATGTCTAATGTTTACACAAGTCTCACTCAAAATGTTTCTAAACTTACAGCAGTTATTGGAAGTACAAGTGGAGAGAAACAAAATCACAACAAAACAAAACATTCTTCGAACTCTTCCCTCTCATAAGCAGTCACATTTCGCCAAAAAGTGAACATTTTTAAACCACGAACTTTTTATCACAATGGCAAACAAACCCACTTCTAATTCAAGATTCACTGATCTCCACGAAGAACCCTATAAGCTCCTACTACCCATTGAAGGTTATCAACATATGGAACTAATGTCACTCGAAGATGCGGTTCGATCACTTCAACCCATAGTTGACAATTTAACAAGAAATGTCTGGATTGCAAAAGATAATTGTAAATCACCGCTTGATTCTTTAACAGTTGATCAATTAGCATCTATCCATTTATACACCATGGAGTGGAAACCGAGCAGTAACAGTCTCTATTCCATTCTCAATCGGACACTACGGAACGAGGATCGCAACAGTTTGATTCCATGGTTTCCTTACCTCAAACTATTACTGACAGCTCTTCACAACATACCGTCTGTCCAGGGAGTTGTATGGCGAGGAATCAAAGCTGATTTGAGCATGAAGTTCAATACAGGTGACCCATTTGTGTGGTGGGGTGTTAGTTTATGCACAGAATCGCTGGATGTACTGAACAAAGAGCAATTTCTTGGCAAAACAGGTACAAGAACATTCTTCAGTATTAAATGCCACAATGGAAAGAAGATTAACTCACATTCACACTATAAACACAACGCCGAAATTCTTCTGATGCCGAGAACATACTTTGAAGTGAAAGATAAAGTAGACAGTGGGTCGAACTTCCACATTATTCATGTTGAAGAAACAACTCCGCCGTATATCCTTTGTGAATCCCCATTCCAGGAACTACAATGTAAAAATAAAAGACTACCAGCAGAACTGCAAGCACTTGATTTTATTCCTAAACTGAAGCTGCAGAATCTCGGAATTAACAAAGAAGACGCGCAAGTATTGGCAGAGGTATTAAAAGTGAATAAAACTCTCACCACTCTTGATCTCCGTGGGAACAAAATATCTGAGGGAGGAGTTGAAGCACTGACAGAGGCATTGAAAGTGAACAGAACTCTCATCCTTCTTAAGCTTAGCCGTAACAACATATCTGTTCGAGGAGTTGAAGCACTGGCATAGGCAATAAAAGTGAATAGAACTCTCACCACTCATGATCTCTCTGGGAACCAAATATCTGCTCCAGGAGGTGAAGCACTGCCAGAGGCATTGAAAGTGAATAGAACTCTCACCACTCTTAATCTTGGAGAGAACCAAATATCTGCTCTAGGAACTGAAGCACTGGCAGAGGCATTAAAAGTGAATAGAACTCTCAACACTCTTGATCTCTCTGAGAACCAAATATCTGCTCGAGGAGATGAAGCACTGGCAGAGGCATTGAAAATGAATAGAACTCTCACCACTCTTAATCTTGGAGAGAACCAAATATCTGCCCGAGGAATTGAAGCACTGGCAGAGGCATTGAAAGTGAACAGAACTCTCATCATTCTTAACCTTAGCCGTAACAACATATCTGTTCGAGGAGTTGAAGCACTGGCATAGGCAATAAAAGTGAATAGAACTCTCACCACTCATGATCTCTCTGGGAACCAAATATCTGCTCCAGGAGCTGAAGCACTGGCAGAGGCATTGAAAGTGAATAGAACTCTCACCACTCTTAATCTATCAGAGAACCAAATATCTGCTCTAGGCTGTGAAGCACTGGCATAGGCAGTAAAAGTGAATAGAACTCTCACTACTCTTAATCTTGGAGAGAACCAAATATCCGCTCTAGGAATTGAAGCACTGGCAGAGGCATTGAAAGTGAATAGAACTCCCACCACTCTTAATCTTGGAGAGAACCAAATATCTGCTCTAGGAATTGAAGCACTGGCAGAGGCATTGAAAGTGAATAGAACTCTCACCACTCTTTATCTTGGTGTGAACCAAATATCTGCTCGAGGAGATGAAGCACTGGCAGAGGCATTGAAAATGAATAGAACTCTCACCACTCTTGATCTCTCTGAGAACCAAATATCTGC